TTGCCAAATATTCATATCTACTACTCCGACGTAACTACAGTGCTGGACAAAATTATAGGTCCACTCTAAAAAGTGCCATAACTCACTCTGTTGTCAATGAAATGTTTCAATTTGGTACAACCGTGTGCTTACCAGCCTACTATGTTATTCAAGAAAAAATCAAAAATTTTGAATAAAGTAGGATTGAAGGCTGGTCAAAGCTATAGGTCCACCTGGAGTTTTTACTGACTGAAGCGCTTCCTAGCTTCCAATTTATTTTACATAGGTTCAAAAGTGTTGAACAGGCGTTTTAGTCAAGCTGTGTCATAAATCCAAAAAGAACTGACTGTCTACTTTTTTGCCTTAAGAATGCTTTCACATGTATTTCGTTCCAGAAACCTGTGTTGAGTAAGAAATTCTGCAGTTTTTCAGCTAGATCGAAAGCGATAGGTTTCATCTACCTTCTGGATGCTTTTTGACGTGGACATTGAGGAGAAAATCAGACTTCTTGTTGTTAAAGCAAATCCGACATTGACAATACTGCAATGCTGAGCTCAAATTTCTGCCTTCAAACTTCTTTTACAATGTCCACAGGAGCATTAAGTAAAGTAAAGGCTTTGTTTCTACAAAGAGAAGTCCTTATTCCATGGTGACAACTTTCTAGAGATCTTAGCATTCAGTATAATTACTGAATTCACCCTGCAGAAACTGATTACGACAAGCACCAAAGCTAATTGTGGAATTTTTTTTTTGGAACCATAATTTTTAGGAGAATCATGTGCTAACATATAACACAAGTTGTACCACTATCTGGTAATTAAATTCCCATCAAAAATCTAAATGAGGTAGCACTTGGCAAGCTAATTTGGAAGTGAGTAACACCATTATTACGTTGCACAACTCATGTTTTCGAAAAAGAAGCAAGTCAGCTTTGTGAACACTTGCGAGTATGGCAAACAGTTTTAGTCTTGTTAAAGAATGCTTCTACAGTATCTTGAGGTTATAATGGTAATGCATTAAGGGTTTTAGGGCAAAAACTGAGGGTGACGCTCCCGATTAAGTCGATGTCGGATTTGCTTAAAGGCAGTGGATCGGCAAAATCCAACAACTCGGGATTTTAACGTGGTAGGTTCCTTATCGCCTAACTATGAAACAGTGCAATCCCGGCTGCACAGCATGCTTTCCCTGCCGAGAAAATCGCGCTCGAACTTACACGCGTAGGCCAATCCTACACGCATCTGGACGAGTTGACAATTTCCCTCTCACCATTGGAGGCTGCCCTTCGCAACGCTATAACCATTGGGTCCCGCCACGATTTAGCGTCATCAGCCTTGCTCCACTCGTCCAATTCCAAAGGGAAGGGCATTGAAAAACGCTCATTTTCGCCGTTTTCAAGCTTTCAAAAGTGGATTTTCGGGATCAGCATATTGAAAAACCCCAGGTAAGCGCAAATTTGACTAGGTTGAGATTTGCCGAGTCACTGCCTTTAAGCAACAAAAAGTCGGATTTTTTCCTCAATGCTCATTCAAAATGCATCCAAAAGGTAGACGAAACCCCGCCGATTCCAACTCGGCTGAGAAACTGCAATCCTACTCAAAGCAGGTTTCTGGAGCGAAATACATGTGGAAGCATTTTCAAGGCAAAAACGCGGATAATCGGTTTTTTTGGAGGTACGACACAGCTTGACTAAGGCAACTGTTTAACACTTTGAATGTGTACCTCCTTAAACATTCGGGAGTTAAAAAGTGCTTCAATCAGTAAAGACTCCAGGTGGACCTAAAATTTCTAAATTTACCAGGCTTCAAGCCTGCTTTTTTCAAAATATATTTGATTTTTTCTTGAATAACCAAACGAAAACGAAACCCATTTTGTTGACTGATAGTAGGCTGGTGAACACATGGCTGTACCAAATTTTGAAGCATTTTATTGACAACAGAGTGAGTTATGGCATTTTTTAGAGTGGACCTATAATTTTGTCCAGCACTGTTTTGCGGTAAATGCCCACAGAATTATTTTTGCAAATCTCCTGAATTTTGAAAAATTAAGACAGTTATTGAAATGGGACTAAAAGCGCTGATCGGGGACAGCATCCACAAGTTAAATCCCCTAACGATTTAGCAGGGATAGAAAAGAGAACAGTCATACCGTCCACGCAATGTATGGCGGAGGTTTTGATGTTCGTAAAAAAAATTCAAAATGAATAAAGGAAAATTGAAAAAATTTTTAGGTCCCAACTTTATTCGCCATCACACAAAAGAAAAATCGCGCAAATTACAAGCTTATTTTTGACTGCCTGGAAGAAAAATTAGGAAATGGAAGTTTTAGAATAATTCTAAATTATGAGAAGGTGATGAGACTTTTTTGTATATTTTTTATTGCTTGAAAATTTTATTGAATTCAAACTTTTTTGATTTTGTATATTTTTTGTATTGTGTCTCACTAATAAACTACAAATTTTCTGCTGTATTGGTCGATATATGATATGTGGCAGTAGCGCGACTTCTGAGGGAATTCTCGCACGTCAGCGCGATGAGGTGCGATTCTGCTACAAAAATCTCTCTGCGAGAGGTTGCAGACGACGAGAGCATGCTTAGGTAACTCAGCCGCGGCGTTGGTGACAGCTCTGGCGGCTGGCTGCGGCACCAGGCGGCTGCCTGTAACATTTGCACGCCTCCTCAACTCGTTGATTACAAAAAACACTGATTTGCAAGATAGCTTCTTTCTGTAAGATTACGGTAACTGGATTTTAGAGAAATTTGGATATCGCTCTTCATTACTGTAGGATTACGGTATGAACTTCTGGCATGTGGATCTATTGTGAAATATGCCATTTGACAAAAAAATTTTCAAAAAATCTGAAAAATCGTGTACTAAGAGTTTCACGCTGATTCCATAACGCACCTTTTTACGGCTGTTTTTAGCTTTTTTGACGGTGTAATCACATTTTTGACAAATGCTGGAAATTCGGTTATTGAGGTTTACCCTGGGATAACCTTAAAAGAAAGCGTCACAGTGAAGTGGAAATTTCATATTTGAACTCAGCGGCTTCCATTACCCATGTATAAAAGTTTTTGGCCTGTTTGGTTTTGTTCCGAGGCAGAATATGGCTTTCAACGGCTTGAAATCCTTGTCAAAGTTCCTACCGTAATCCTACAGTAATGAAGAGCGATCGACGACCCGCTCCATACTGTAGATCTAAGTTAGGCCTCGCTCTATAGAATGGTGCCTCAAGCTCGGCGGAAGACATAAAAGCAAGGGAGTTATTAACGATCAAACCGTGTTCACATTTTTTGGGACACTATGTATGTGGCAGTAGCGCGACTTCTGAGGGAATTCTCGCACCTCAGCGCGATGAGGTGCGATTCTGCTACAAAAATCTCTCTGCGAGGTTGCAGACGACGAGAGCATGCTTAGGTAGCTCAGCCGCGGCGTTGGTGACAGCTCTGGCGGCTGGCTGCGGCACCAGGCGGCGCTGCCTGAGTAACATTTGCACGCCTCCCCAGCTCGTTGATTACAAAAAACACATGATTTGCAAGATAGCTCCTTTCTGTAGGACTACGGTAAATGGATTTTAGAGAATTGTGGATATCTTCGAAATTTGCTGGCCATTTTCGCCTTTCACTCAGAAGACTTTTTGCAATTTGTTTAGCGTTTAAAAACCATGAAAAGTGCTCTATCGAATTAATCAACCAAAGATTTTTACGCACCCGTTAGATAAAATCTATGATCCAACTTTCTAAGGAACTAGTAGCACTTGATTTTTCTTCGCTCCTCCTCAGATAATTGCCGGGGGCAGGCGGTCCGCAAACTCGCGCTTTTCTGCAAGCGGTCAGCAGAATTTTGGGGCGTGGCCAAACCTTCAGCAAGCGGTGCTGGTCAAATTTTCAACTGGCGCTCGGATGGTTTTTACGCAGTTTCGGGCATACGCCGAGCAAGGGTGAGACTCTACATGGCTGAGGTCATCGATGGTTTAATTACTCAAGTTTGAGGTACTTTCTCTCAGTGGAATGTACCTGGGGGTTGCGCGGTCCTCCACAAAGGACCGTGCGGCCCTCGAAATTTTTGCATATTCTCGCGGAAAGTCTGCGAGAATGCGGCCGCAGCTAATCTGTAAGGAAACCGCGATTGTTCTCCAAGCATTCGTCTAAAATTTCGCTAAAATACCGACCGCAAGAGATCAGCGAACTATTTTTGCGGTGTCCGCCCGCTCATAAATCGCATGGCCGCCTGCCCCCGGCGATTATCTGAGTCACTCTCGGCCTCGGCGCAGGATTTGGTCAAAATATTGAGGTTCTCGGATTGACCGGAAACTTCGCTCATAGTGGTTTTTGGTTCCCATCTTTACGAAAATCCTAGTTATTTTGCACTAGAGAGTCTTACAGTAAAGCTCAAGTGAGATAGAAGAAGCTGAACCCATCAAGATCGCAACTTCGCCTGCACTTTTCGCTTATCTATTGCGGAAATTGTCTGCAAATTTTTGTGTGTTCAAGACTTTGTGAACAGCTCTACCGGACCATGCTTAGCAAAGATCTTTATATGCGTTGTTCGTCAGATTATGATGTTACAAATTCGCCTTCTCATGTATTGTCTCTCAAATTCGCAAGTCGTGTAATTTGGCAGATATTTCATCCTACAATGTGCCACCAGCAGCAAAACAATGCAAGAAATGTTGTTAGCACGTCGAGTAATTCCTCCAAGAGGAAATTATAAGATTTGCTTTATACACGCATTCGAACATATGGCATTGTCATAACTGTACAAAAGCTTATAGATCACTTTAGCATGAAGGTTTGAATAAAAAAAAATTCACATGGCGTGTTTAAGTTCATCTGCTAGTAGCAGATTAGAAAACTACCATTTTGTCAGCTTATCAGCCAGATACAATACCACCCATATATTTTGATAAATCTCCGTGAATGTCGCGAAATTTCGAAAATTCCGCGAAATTCCGGGAATGTCGCGAAGTTTTGCGAATTTCCGGGAATTTCGCGGCGGAGTTTTCGAAATTTCGCGACATTCACGGAAATTTTGCACATTGTGTAAGCGGTATTGTACCTTACATAATGTAGAAGATAAGCGCATGCAACCATGAAAATTCTAATCACCATCTCCCACGATGGCCTATTACGGCCTTATGGATCCATTTGTCGACTAAGAAAACATCATAAGAGACAATGAATGTAATGGGAGGCAGCCTTCCTCTTAGTCCTTGAACAGCAACAAATTGCTTCTTCTTCCAGATAACATCCACCCAGTCAACGACCACTTGACCCCTAAAAGCTAGCGCGGTGAAACTAGTGACTAATACGTTGAACAATCGTACTTTTCATAATCTAGTGCCAATAAGTGGTTCGACATGTTTGATTTTGAACTTTAAGATCTACGTGATTTCACAAAATAGTGCCTTGCCAGTTTTCGGCTCTTCCACCTTGTTGCAAATTTACAATGGCAAAAGAAATACCAGGAAACCACCGCTTTGTTAGAGTCTATGACGGATGTAGATGTTCGCAACGGACCACTGAGCTATTTTGAGCTGGACGTCACATAAACCGTTATAGCTCACATAATGGTAAAAACTGGAGGAAATCAGCAGTCATGAATGAGCACTCTGATTCCACTGGATCCTTCGCAAAAATCCAAAACGCTTCGAAGGATTTTCTAGCTGGGATCTCTTTTTCAGATGTCAGGATTGTGACGCGAACATCTACATCCGGTAGGGATATCTAACGAAGCGGTAAAAGTGTGACTTTGATATCAAAGTCATTTCCACCATGCAATTCGTGTCTTGTCTGCCAAACGGCGAAGCTAAGTTCTTTTGCCTTTTATCTGCCAAGTGCTCTGTAATGCGATTCTGAATGTTCCGGCGGTCCTCCCCGCTCCACATCCGGGTCAGCGATCGCCCCGTGGACCTCAGGAGTAGGCTTAGTAAATCTGCTTCTGTAGGATAAAATTTATCATTACTCCGCCAGTTAGAAGAATTGAAAGAAACCCTGTACATCGGATCCTGCTTGCGGCGCCGGTGGTAGCAAGAATGATGTCAGGGTCCTCATGGCGCCTTTTGGATCGGACAAAAACAACACGTTTGCCCGGACGAAAAGCCATGGAGACTGCCCCATGATCTGCACCTACAACGCTAGGACAGTTTCTACAAACGCCGACCTTCTCGCTCTTCTCGACGCTGCAGAGCGCATCAAGTACCACATCATAGCTCTGCAGGAAACAAAGTTCAGGAAGAAGGGCGTGCGATAGAAGAGTGATGGGACGCTCATCATTCGTGGTGAGAAGGTTCCATCACGAAAGGTTGGAGGCGTTGGCTTTGTCGTCCACCCATCTGTAGTCCATCTTATCGATTCGCATGAGATCCTATCACCCCGATTAGGCATCTTACGACTACGCCCTCCACGTCAGAAGACCATCAGCATCATTAACTGTTACCCTTAAACATCAGTAGCTGACGAATCAGAACCAGATGCTTTCTACGAAAACGTGGAGCAGGTCGTCCGCAACGAGAAGTCCTTCTACAAGTTCGTTGTGGGCGACTTTAACGCGAAGATAGGGATGCCACTAGAAGAGGAATACAGGATCGGGAAGCTTCATATGGCTCCGAAACGAAAACGGCAACCGTCTCGTTGAGCTTGTCTCCGTCGCACGACTCTATGGAATTTTCATCTTCATGAAGAAAGAACATTGTCGATGGACATGGGAATCGCCCACGGAACGATTTATGCAGAGATCGGCCAAATTCTCACCAACCGAAGGTAGAGAGCTTGCTCTCCACCTTCGGTTGGTAAGAGTCGTGAGATGTCTCAGTAGTTCCATACTTTTGCAGTAGCTCCGATCACCGCCTCCTTCAAGCGAAGGTGCGATTCGATCAAAAGCTGGAAAAGAAGGTCTGCCACAGTGCCGCAAGAAGGAAGAATGTCGTTTATGACGGTAACAGGCTGGAGGAGCTCATATTAAGTCGTGAATTGCCTATCGAGAAGTCCCAACGTACAACTACGACTGGCTTTTGAAAGGATTGCGAGCCTGCGGAGAATGCGCCTAAGTGACTTCTGGAAAGAACTTGGAACGCATTTCGAAGACCATCAAGGAATTGCTCGAAAAAAGAGGATTTCTGAGGCAAGATTCAAATGCGACCCATCCCGAGCAACTGGTAGCCAACTCCAGTTGCAGAAAAGCTTTGAGCAGGATCTCAGGAAGTACAGGCAAGCCAAGGTACTGGAAGAAGCCGAAGGAAGACGAAGTCTCAAGAAATGCCGAAGGAACCTCTGCGAATATCACGTACCGCTGGCTGCACTACTAAACGAAGACGGAACTCCGACTTCCTCCCGATACAAGATGGAATCTATCGCGAAGAACTTTTACACCAACCTCTTACGCTCATCAGCACCCGTGCCAATGCGCGTTGTTCCACTAGAGAAGTACCATTACGAAATCTATCTGCTGAAGTGCGCACTGCTTTTCAGGCCATGAAGACGTCCACGGCTCTAAGATCAGACCATCTTTCCGTCGAATTTATGCGAGCCGAAGGACAAAGTCTACGCGATATTCTCGCGTCGCGCCTAACATCTTACCTCCAGAAGGAAAGGATTCCCAACCAGTGAGAACGTCAAGAACCGTCCTTCTCTTCAAAAAGGGTGAACTTCAGAGGATTTCAGAACTATCGTCCAATAAGCCTGTTGAGTGTGCTGTACAAACATTTCACGAAGATTATCCTCGCTCGCATATCTAGGACACTGAATGAAGCCCACCCCAAGAACAAGCTGGATTTCGCAAAGGATTCAGCTGCATGGACATCCAGACGGTTTTGAGGGTCATAGAAGTCTGCCGGGAGTATCGACTGCCTCTCGTCCTAACCTTCGTCGACTACGAGAAAGCCTTTGACAGCGTCGAAACCAACGCCATCCTGTCTGCGCTAGTCGATCAAGGAGTGGAACCAGCTTACGTGAGGACACTAGCCGACAGCTACAAGGACTGTACAACAACGATGCAGCTATTCCATCGCCCCCTAACCATTCCAATTGGGAAGGGGGTTCGACAAGGGACACTATCTCGCCGAAGCTGTTCATCGCGGCCTTGCAGTGGGTGATAAAGCCACTAGACTGGGACGAGAAAGACATACGAGTTGATGGGAGATTCCTCTTCAACCTTCGTTTTGCGGACGACATCGTTCTCTTTTCAGGGCAATATCACTGAAGCAGAGACGATGCTGAAGCAACTGACAAAGTAGAAGAAGACTCAGATTGCGAGTAAATCGGAAGAAGACTTAGTTCATGAAGAACGCCCTCTGCGAAGATGCAGAAATGGAACTGGAAATCACATCTATCATGGAGACGTCTTCTTAAGTGTATCTCGGACGTTCGATGAACATGGAGAATGACTTGAGGAAGAACTTAACACGAGAAGAAGAGCAGCCTGGGCCGCCTTCGGGCCTCTGAAGAAAGCCACCGACCAATGGACGGACCCGAGCTTCGTACCCACCTGTTTGATTCAAGCCTTCTCCACGCGCTCTGTTACGCAGCTGAGACTTGGCCCGACATTGTAGCCACGTCGAAAGTTTCAAGGACCACCCACAGTGCAGTAGAGCGCAGTCTTCTGAAGATACCCGACACAAGCAACATCTAGTCGGACTTCGCAGCACGGATATAAGAAGAACGTCCTGTCTTCGTGACCCAGCGGATTACATTGCGAAAGCGAAGCATTGATGGGCCGTTCACATTATGAGAAAGAACAGACGGACAGTTGGACACTAAGAACATCGGAGTGGATTCCTCGCGAAGCAAAACGTCTCCGGAAAAAACCTCCAACGAGATGGGCAAACGTGCTGGTGAGACAAATGGAATGGCAGCTGAGAAATCAGCTGGATCGATTTTTGCACCAGGAACTCGTGGACGCAGTCGGCCAAGAATATTGTGGATGTTTTTAAGCGAGGGACAGAGAGAAATGGAAATTTTTGTGTGGGCCACACGTCACGTGAAGCCGAATCATCCAACAATAAGTGTCTAAGTAAGTGTTACACCAAACCTAGTATGGGCTCCAAAAAGTTCCACTTCTATTCTCAGGTGCATCAACTTGCGAGCCACTCGATTCATGTCTATGGCAGCAGCAACCGCAATCTCATCACAGTATGAATTCTGGCGATTACTTTTCGCCATTTCAGCTCGAACTGAAAATGAAATCTAAAAATAAAATTGCTAAATTACGAAAACTTCGACAACCTTCACTCGTGGCTGTATTCAGGAATGACGACAGATTTGTATTATATCGCAAATGCGCGTCAAAGTCCACTAGTTTTTCATGCTGCAACGAAAGGAAAAATTAATCCGAATCTTACTCATATTGTCAGTAGAAGTTACATGCCTTGACGCCTTCAGTGAAAAAAGCCTCCCATGGAATCATTACAATCTTTTCCGCCAATTTGCTTATAACTATTGACGCAGCTTCTGGGTCACCATGAAAATTGAATTCTGATGATGAGTTCGATGCTACATTACCAATTCCTGTAAAATCCCGTGTGTTTGTCCGAAATTATTTTAGGACTAACCATGAAAAAAACAATCAGACAAATGAGCTTATAAATGATCACGAGCACAACTTATGCAGAAATGAATTCTCACTGTTAGATGTACTACCTTGATAGTTTCCTCCCATGATAAATACTTTGGCAAAGGTTAATTTTGGGTATATTTTCAGTGCTATAGCCACGTTGGTAAGCGGTCCTAGGCAGACCAGTGTTGCTTCTGGATGTTTGCGCGATAAGCGAACGAGTGCTAATGCAGCACTTTCTTCAGACGTAGGCACGAAGTCACGATCACGGAGCTGGAAAAAGTTTCTTTTTTACCGAAACTGAATAGATTGGATTATAATGATGATAATTTTCAAATAGTCATTGAACACCAGCGCTTTTACAGAACAAAACAGTCCGATGCCGACTTTTGTAAACGGAGTTGCAAAAAGTTGTGTTTATTTGAATACGTAAAGTCTTAAAAAAAAACTACGACAAACCATTAACATAAGCAATTTTTTACGAATATCATTTACTGAGGGAAAAGATATTGCTTGCACAATCCTATCAATAATGGAAGGGGGCAATCTTAGAATCTTTGTAAAATTTCACTGCTTTGAGGAATCGTCTTTTCTTATGCGCCCCTTTCCGTGTTAGTCATTCGTGACAACGTATCGTCGAGTCGTCGACCGCACGGACTGGTCTATAGCAGAGCACATGTAGCGCGCTGGAATATGAGGAGAGAATGACTTGTACTATAGCGATCTGAAGTGATACAAGCGTTCAGCTGCATTCTTCACGATCTGCGGCCAGTCCAAGTGGTTAACGACTCAACGACGATTCAATAATTATTTCAACAAGTCACACGACAGGGCTTCCACTGCAAACGAGTGCCGCTTTCCCGCGCATGCCGCTTTCATATTCTGTGCCCAATAACTCTCCGGTGCTAATACGCGAAGTGCTCATGGCCCGCTCGCTAACACAAACGTTTCCTTACCTCTGGGAATGCTTTCGGTTGGTTTCCTAATCCGTCGCCAAACATTCCATTGAGATTGCTTTCTTTGTTTAATAGAGATTCACTAGCTCCTTTGTAGATAGGTATAGGATGCTTAACATTAAATAACTACCAAATTTGCCAAAAAATTAACATAACCTACCTTAAGTGCGTTTGCACGTTGGCATCTTGCGACATTTGCAGTGGCTTGCTCTACGGTCACACAACCGTGAACGGTAGTGAACGCCAGCACCTAAGTAAAAGGATCTAAGTTTGCTTTGTGTCACTCAAACTTCACATATTTGCTGCGTTTGAGAAGGTGTTCAGATGAAATAGGCTTTGGGCATACAATTTGGCGAATGGCTTGGATGTTCTGAAGTATCGATCTTGGGTTGAAGTTGAAAAGCCGGGAAAACTTTGGTTGAATAATAAACATAGCCATTTTTGTAAGATGACGTCTGGGTGGACGAAACAAACTCTCAGCGTTGCGGAACTTTTCTAATCAGGCGCAAAATCTTTCGAAGTTGTACGTACTTTCTGCTTAGCTTACCATAGGACTGCAAAGGTTGAGTTTTGATTGTGTGAATCGAGCTGACTTTAGGGTTAGATTGGAACCTGGTTAAAACCGTAAAAACATAAAAACCATAACAAGAAAAAGATTCTTCATGCGTCCTACAAAATGTCTACAGAAGACCTTAATTTACTTCACAGCCTTGGTAGGAGCTACTTAAGTGCTTGAACCGCAGAAAAACAGAAGTTTTTAGAGAGCATTGACACCAAAAGCATTTTGAGCAATCTGGGAGAAATCTTCTTTTGAACTGATCTATGTTCAGTGTACAGTAGATATCGCGCATCCACAATTGTTTCCATATAAACAATCAATGTGGCTGCCTTTCAATCGTTTTAACAGTTAACTCCAGCAACATTGAGGTGCTTCTTCGAAGACATGTTGGAATGATCGAAAGAAGCTACGTTGATGGTTCCTACAAGAACGATTCTGGTGGATTAACATATTTGTTACTGTAACTCTACAAAAAATTGTGCCTGAAAGATTGTCGTTAGGGTGAAGAAAGGAAACCCTTTGAGGTGTTCTACAGTTATTCTCCTCGATGGGTCCCGCTTATGCAGGGTCAACTTTTCTTGTCAGTCGTCTCGTTCATGTTCTTCCAACTAAGGCAGGGTCTCTGATCCCATTCTCGCAGATCGGCCTTGATTTTGTCCATCCAACCCACCATGGGTCTTTTGCCTGATGCCTTCACCGCCAGGGTTATTCTTGCGATGTGACTTCCTCCCTTCTGCGCTCCACCGTCGTCTCTTTTCTCACTTTATCCACGCGGTGCTTGAATTTGAACCTTGTCTTGTCTATTCGAGTACAACCATTTTTTGAACTATGGTAAATGAAAGCCCGCTTCATCTATCCTTATAAGCCTGGCCTGCGAAAGTCTTTGTTTGAACCGAGGTTTCATGCCTTCAACGATAAGAGAGTAAAACTTGAGATTTTTCCTTTCATTCTACTTGCATTAAATTTATGAAAAATGCTCAAATTTTTTTCAAAAAATGCGTGTGGTAATCGCGAGGTTTTGTGCTACGAACTGCTTACCAAAGCAAAATTTTGGAAAGTTTTGAGCGGAGAAACTTTGGCTGATTGTTGGACTAATTCTACGCTGTATAATAACTTAAGGCAGAAAGTGATTACGAAACTTTCACTTTGCGCAGACAGAGTAAACCTACTACAACTAATGGTAAGAAAGCGGCAGGATTTTCTCTTTTTTTAAAAGAAGAAAGAACTAACGAAATTCAAAAAACATAGTTTTTTGCCTTTTCTGGAATGCATAAAAGTGAGTACTTTTGGTTCTTGGGCCATAGTTCTTCGCAGAAAATTCCCGTATAATCTGAACTTTGCTCCACTATTTAACCAACCATCTGCTATAAAATGAGCAAACATTGCGCCATCAAAGTATATCTTAGAGCAAGTTTTGCCCTTTCAAACTAGAGCTTCCCGAAATACATTTTCGGCAGTTTTCGGGCCAAAAAATTTCCGTAGTGACTGCAGTCACATCGAAGTATGCGTTGTATAGCTAAAGATTTCCTGTTTGCACTAGCTTTTGTCACACTTAGGCCCGTATGCACGTACATCCCCGCGGGGAGGGGAGGGGATCTGAGAGGGGAAGCGTCATATTTCGCCACTCCGTATATCTTTCTTCTTCCTTCTTTATCTGTGATATGAAGGTTCATATATCCTGATACCTCCGCGTAATAGATGCCAGGTTACTGCCATACAAGATTAGATTTTCACCAGTTTGGGTGATCCCCTGGGGATCCCCAGGGGATCACACAAACTTGTGAAAATCTAATCTTGTACGGCAGTAACCTGGCATCCATTATGCGCAGGTATTAGGTTATGAGAACCTTCATATCACAGATAAAGAAGGAAAACGAAAGATATACAGAGTAGCGAAATATGACGCTTCCCCTCTCAGATCCCCTCCCCTCCCCGCGGGGATGTACGTGCATACGGGCCTTAGAGAGGTGGTGTCGGATAAGAACCTTGTGTCAAAGTTGAATCTTAGGGCCGTATGCACTAACATCCCTGCGGCGAGGGGAGCGGCATCCCCCATTATGAAGGGGTCGCGTGCGGACGCCGCTACGACTTTTACAACATTGGGGACGTCGCTCCCCTCGCCACAGGGATGTTAGTGCATTCGGGCCTTAGAAAATTTGCATAATTAATGAACCAATAATATTAAAAGGATATAGAAGTCAATTAGCAGTACTTGATGAGAATTGCCACTTTTGGAAGAGCAAACAAATGTTGTGTACTTTACCTCCACATTCGGATGCTGCAAGGCAAGCGATATAGCGCGTATATCGTCCGAGAATCCATCAGTGTCTAAAATTTTTTCAAATTATTTAGCTCATTATTGTCTCCAGAAGTTACCTATAATTAACTGCTTTTTTGATGGCGATTGGGTGTGACGAATGCTGACAATAAGCATTGGGTGGAGCGAGAGAATAACAAGAGAAACGCAATAAGCTTTTGTTAGCATCTGAAGCGAAGAGTAAGGAAATTTTTCTACAAGTTTTTTCTTTTTTTAATATCTTAAAGTATACGATCTACAAGCTATACCGCGTTGATTGTAGATGTAGGTATTTGTATAAGGAAAACTTACATTTGATGAGGCAATAAACTATCGAGAACAGGTTTTGAGCAAACTCCCATCATAAATACGGAGTCTTTCATGAAAAGGATGAACGAAAATGAATGATTATTGCCATGCGGTAGCGCTACGGTGTAGCGCGATGATGATTCCGGAGTCACGAATGGTATACTGTGCATGCATTCGTCATGCGTTCTATATTATAAGAGCTCTAGAACTTCTTCGTACACACAAAATTAGTTTTATATTTAAAAACGCTACATTCTTTTTCTTTCTTTGAAGCCTGTATATCCACTCAGTAGTTCATGAGCTAGATTGAAGTCACCATCAATTTTGGCGAAAGAAAAAGAAGCATGAACTTTGTACATCATCCCTTATAGAAAAAATTTACGACAAAGTCTTATCTCAGAGACCATAAGATTACCATGTTAAAGTCTTCAAGAAAGGAGCTATATTGCCTGCTTATGTTGAAGAACATTCTTTTAGGATTGCTGACCTCTTAGGACTCTCATGAGTGGGTGGAGCTGGTGGAGTTTTAAAAGGCATTCTTCAGGACTTATCGCATGAATTGGCGGGTGGAGTTGGGGCTACAGCGTACTTGGAGGTTTACTACCTAACACTACAAAAATCGAGAGCGATCCACTGTGCCGATCCACTCCTTCAAAGAGCGGGGCCCGGCACTAGCTGGGAAAATGTCAAGCCCGAAATCGTGTTAGATGGAAAGCAAAGGGTTAGCCTAGATATACGTCTACATGTAGATACGCTCTCTCGACAAATTGCTACACGACTGACATGCAAAAACATAATCTTTCTCGCATCATTTTGAAAAAATCAAATTTTCTTTTACTGAGTCGTAATTAAATGTCTCGGTTACAGCGCACACTTAATGATATGACTATCTTTTCGAAGTATAAACGGAGATGGACCCCGGAAGCTTAGTGCACATTACTGTGGAACTGTTATGTGACTGAAGGTCGTAGCAAGCCATTTTCTGAAGTTTCCTCGCTGTCACAGACTGAAATGTTCGCTTACAACACACAGATGACGATATGGCACTAAGTTTGGTCGTGTACGCGCTCGAACAATACGCATCTGACGGAAGGCATGTCCGGGCAAGAACTCGATTTTGGGATTTTATGCTTACCCGGGCCTATTCGCTATGCTGAATCCAAAAATCCACATTGGAAAGCGCGAAAACGACGAAAAGGGGCTCTAATACTGGAGGGAAATCAGCAAGTGGGCGGGATCTTCCCCACGGTGAATTCACGCTTCCAGCTACCAAAGCAATTTTCTCGAATCCGTTAGCCGCCCTGACATCACTACCGGTCAAGTGCAAACGAATGACTTTGAACCGGATTCAAAAAGATCGCCCCCGAAGTTGGGAGCGTGAATTTACCGTGGGGAAGACCCCGCCCACTTGCTGATTTCCCTCCAGTACTAGAGCCCCTTTTCACCGTTTTCGCGCTCTCTGATGTGAATTTTCGGATTCAGCATAGCGAATAGGCCTGGGTAAGCATAAAATCTCAGAATCGAGTTTTTGCCCGGACACTGCCTTTGAATGGAAAATCCTAAAAATCGATAGAGGTGAAGGCGAAGTCGTTCCACCGATGTCTACCTGTCACCCTTGTGTTAAGCCCTGTTGAAAATACTGGCTCAATTGTTTAAAAGCAAAAGAGTTTTGGTTGCGCTTCCTGGCTAGGTAGCGTATGCGACCCAAGAAGCGTGTATGGCAAAGAAGTATCGCTGGTTTCATTGTCAAGTTAGAGGTCTTCTCTCAAAAATAATTATGGGTAAAACGGTCTTTCACCACGAAGAGGGTCACACGGCCATCAGCAAATTTGCAGATTGCGACAGAAAAATCTGGGATCAGGCGGCATGCTCGCTACCACTGTTTAATATGTTCCTAAAGAAGCACCAACTTCGCTTTGAGCATTCTTTGATAAAAAAAAAGCAGCGTTTTTCAAACGTCAGAAAGCAATGCCTGAAGACGCACTTTAGCACTCAAGTGTTTTCCGTCATTCAGTTGTATACAAATCGCTTTACAATCATCCCCTGCAATCATGGGATGCACGTACTCTTGCACATACCTTTCAGTAAGGAACTACTCGAGAGACTTTTGGAAGGATTTGCCATAAGCCGTTTGTTCTGCCATTACGCAATTTTTTGCCGAGCATTTTGCTATAGTCGCTTTTTATATAAAGAACTAGTTGGCATACCCGGCTCCGCCCGGGCCTGTCATTATTATATTCGTAATCAGCATGCTCGATTACCCCCCTATGCCAACTCCCAGCCCTGTAGCTCAAATTTTGCAAAAAATCGATAAAATCGATATCGATCGATAACGAAAAGTAGCCTATGACACGCTCCCTGCCCCGAAGTATATGTGTGCCAAGTTTGGTCCAAATCGGTTCAGAAATAAAAATTTCTATTCCGCACATACGTACAGACATACAGACATACATACAGACAGACATTCAGCTTTATATATAAGATTATGTACTGCCAAAATTATGTGCTCACTAGCTTAACATTCAAGACTTATAATAACATACAAAGGGTATTTACTGTTTTTGTGTGTGCGCCTGTCTATAACGAATTTCATAGAATGAGTTGCAGACAAGGTTTTAAACCGCAATATTGCACAACACACAATGCCAACCTCTGGACTCACCATGGCGAAGAGCAGATCCGTCGAAGGAATTTCTCAGAAACTGCGCGTTGAACGGATCCACTTAGCTTATAGCCTGCAAAATTCGCTCCGAATTACCACCTTTGCGCAGTTAAGGCCACGTTTAGCAACCCAATATGGAAGCCAAAATCTTTAGCCCAAAAGTGATGAAAGTCTATCGCTCCACGAAAACGAGGCCAAAAAGAACCGATTGTATAAATGGTCAAATTGTCAAGGATTTTACCTGAGCATTTGAGGTGATTTTTGCAAACGGATGTAGCTCACGGTAAACATTACTTTATGGCAACTACCAGGCCATGAGAAAGTTCAAAAGTGTTCTAGAATCTGCATTTGTTCTTCATCTTCCAATGTTTTAACCACGCAAAAATTAATCTCGAAGTTATATATTAGTGTTTCTTATACTTATCCAAAAGGTTCCTATAAGAATAAAAAACGGAAAATGGAGTGCATGTTAACACGTTACCATCCGGCGCTCCTATTCTATATGCCTCGCACGGCCAAACTTGGCGCGAAAATCTTTCATAACTTCCTTGAGAGAAATGATTAGCAGAAGCAGAAGTCAGATGCAGAATCAGTGTTTGAAGACAAGTGTAATGGTATACATTTTATTTTAGAAGCCACGGACACTGAGTATAGTTTGCTTGTAAGAAAATATATATCTTATATATAAAGCTGAATGTCTGTCTGTATGTATGTCTGTCTGTCTGAACGTATGTGCGGAATAGAAATTTTTATTTCTGAACCGATCGGGACCAAACTTGGCACACACATACTTCGGGGCAGGGAGCGTGTCATAGGCTACTTTTCGTTATCGATCGATATCGATTTTATCGATTTTTTGCAAAATTTGAGCTAGGGGGCTGGGATTTTGCACAGGGGGGTAATCGAGCATGCTGATCACCCCGGAGGGGTTGATCAGCATGCTCGATTACCCCCCCCCCCCCCCCCCCCGTGCAAAATCCTAGCCCCCTAGCTCAAATTTTGCAAAAAATCGGTAAAATCGACATCGATCGATAAGAAAAGTAGACTATGACACGCTCCCTGCCCCGAAGTGTATGTGTGCAAAGTTTGGTCCCGGGCGGAGCCGGGTTTGCCATCTAGTTACAGTAAAAACATGCGGAATAGGTTCGAATAGAATAGTCTAGTGTAGCCCTCGTTGTCATCTTATTCCTTGAGTGATGTCGCTGCGGCTCTCATATTAATCTTTGAGGTACAAATATGATTATCAAAAAGCGCTAACGCTAAAATAAAATAAAACTTAAGTTATAACTTTCACGTGCTGTTCTGGCTTCATACAGGAGATGCACAATTCATAAATGAACATTGTAGCTGTATTACATAAAATATATGGAAGAATTAGATACTTCTAACGCTGTTACTTTTCTTGCGTAATCTTCGTACAAACTCTGCAGGCAGGGTGCAGCAAGAAAAAGTGATTGCCTTTTTAGTTGTTCTACAAGTGATGATATGAACTGCATCTTACATAAACTAGGCTCCTCTTCTAAACAACGACAAATCATTGTGATGTAATCAATGCAACTTCTCTCCTTTTCTCACAAGGGAACGATTCTCGAAGCCCGTGGCCATCTGTGTTGGAATGTATATCATTGCACTCCTCTTAGAACGCTAATTCCGAATCTGACCTCCCGCTTCTGCTGAACTTTTCTCTGAAAAAAGTTACGAAGGATTTTGTATTCCTCTTGAGCGGCCAGGTTTGGCCGCTCAAGAGAAATACAATACAATCGGAATGCTAGTAACGACGGCAAGTTGTAGCTTAGTGCTAATTGCCATAGCCTCACAGGTTGGCGCAGGTCCAGGCACGAATATTCCTCATTTTCAATTTTGCATTGCATCGGTTAAGCTTCTTTGTAAAAATTAGGAATCCTCGGGTATATGCATGCCCTTACTCTCCAGAAAACCAGTCTGCCCAAAAATGTATCCGCTGGGCTTATTACAAGCAACTTCTCTGTTTTAATCATTTTGGATAGGTTTCCATCACTGTGTTCAACATGCATTCATTTTCCACTTTTCATTTTTGTGAGTCCCTTTAGGGTCGCATGCACTGACATCCCCGCTGGGGAGGGAATCGCAGCTTAAAAAAGAGCTCCATATGCTGAAGCTCCAAATGTGCGGATTTCACGGATTTCACGCTGTCTACCTTTCCGTAAGAATGGATCGCGACATTTTTGAAACTTACCTA